GCATTACATAGGTCCTAAGTAAAAAATTAATAATAGCTCCTTGGCTCCAAAAGCACTGTAATACTACTAGTATTGAACGCGAATCTTAAATGAATATTTTCTTTGAATCGTTTCGTTTATTTCGAAGCTCATTTATTTACATAAATACATACATATATGTATACTGTACAAGACAAAGCCTACTCGTGGTTGAAGTTCGTCTAATTCCACTGTTATTTTATTTTTACATTGAATCAGTCAATTGTTTTATTGTTTTTATACAAATATCGGTAACTGGCAAGTAAACAAATCCGATTCAGTTCATTACAGTTAATTACAAATCAAATCACCACAATTACCAAAGTGTTTAGCGAAATGTATAAACACCAGCCACCTAGTAGGTAATTAAAAATTATTTTTGCACTCAGCCCTCATGGAAAATAATTTATGTATATGTACTCTAACATACATATATGTACATATATTGTACATACATAAATACGGCTTGGTAGGGGACTAACTACTTGCTATTGTTTGCATAGTGGCTAATTTGCCTGGAAAAGCAAAAAAAAAAAGAAACAAAATTAACTGTGAATTTGAAATTGACGTGAGAAATGCGATACTAAGTTGCGGTATCAAATGCCAATACCGGTAACTATGCTATTAACCAACAACTGGTAAGCGGTAATATGTCAGTATGCAATAATGCTCACAAATCAAGCTGACTAATGGCCAATAACAACAATACGCAAGTACTACATACATATGCATGCGCTTTTGTTTGGCCGATTTAAATGCGCGTAAATTGCTCGTGATTAGGAAAAATTAGTCAAAGTTTGAAAAAGTCTTTTTGTAGAACGCTGAGAATTAGAATTTTAGAAAGTCAGAAAAGTTAAATTTTTTTTGGTGCCCAATTTTTGATATTTTTTTAAAAGCATATGCTACATACATACATACATACATAGTAGTTCGATTATAAAGTATTAACTACGAGTACAAACGTAATCTACATACATACATACCTTGATTCGATTTATACTAGCCAAATCGTAAATATTTATAAATTATCAAACATTTTGTGTGTTTCCTTTGTGTATTGTCATTTCTATGCAATGATTCATTGTGAATATCGCTTGCGCTCGCGCATTAAAACTGGATTTACCAGATTTTTACTTTAAAGATGGTGCGACAAAGGCATTGAAGGAATTCGTGACTCACCGACTCAAAGCATTCAATATATTTTAATGCATTGAAGGCATTGTATTTGAGTTGTTGTATATAAAAAAGATTTTTTTTCCTAAATCTATTTAATAAAAGACGGCTACAAAAAAATAAAAGTGATTTTTTTAGGAGACGCGTTTTAAGTTTTCAATTGACACTCGCCATGCTAAAAAAGAGGGAATAAATTTAATCATACTGAAATTGCACACGATTTTAGTATGACATTTTTACAGAATATGAAATATGATAAAAAAAAATTATTATGTACTCTTATTTCAGAATTGCAGCTTTTTTTTATTATAACAGTCTTTTAATAGACGAGCGTTATGTACGAACATCGCTGTCATTGCTACGCATGAATAAAAATGAGCTTTAGCTTCGACACGATTTTGAGTTTATGCTCACTCCATCAGTGCAAAAGTTGAGTCGGAGCTTAAGCTCACTTTTTATGCATGAGGCCCATTATTATAAAAGGTCCCAACAACTAAAACTTATGTTGCATATGAATCGATTAATTACCAAAGGGAACACAACACGTCAGCATGTTTTCGATACGATAATGTTGATGCAGTTCGGTCCGTTTGAAGTAGTTCTGCACTTTCTGAACTGAGTTGGTGTCAGCTAGGTATTTTTCTATGACATTCGGCAATTGGATAAACGCACCTTCCCTATAAAGGGTGCGGACATTCCAGGGGCATATCTAAGGATATTTGAGAGCGGTAATAATACGAGGCTTTTCAGGTAATTTTTTTTGCGTCGCTTGTCCCAAGGCCAGCGTACAACCCACTGCTGGGATGTTTTTTTGGTTTTATTATCCGAATACACGTTTATATAGCAAGCCGCTTGCAGCTGCACCTACTGGTGAACATAGGTGGCAATCCCCTTAAAAATGTTTTCGTAATACATTTTTTTAAATCTCGTACGTTTCGCATTCATATTGTAAAATTTCGATGAACTTATAATTTAAATTAGAATTTATTCTTTTAAGCTATATGTTAGTCCAGGCCATAAGCTACCCGCTTACCCAGAAAAAAGTCAGCTAAATATATTTATCTCAATATATGATTTGCTTATATGTAGTTATATTATTTGGTCATATGTAGTTACCAAATCATGTGTTAAGAGAAATATTTTTAGCTGACTTTGTTTGGGTGTAAGTCAAATGTGATACAAAGAAAGACCAACAAACGCTTTACACGCCCACTTACAATCTGTCAATCAAATTCATAAACTGGTGGCAACCCTCATCAGAAATATTTTCGAAATAGATAGATGCAGCTTTCGTAAAACTTCTATCGTTTGTTACCCACATTAGAGGATTTAGTTTAACTTGCCAATTAAATCGATTTTGTATTTATAAAGAGGTGGCAACTCCCTTTGAGAAATTATATGGAAATAACACCTTCTTAAATCTCGCTCGTTCAATATTCCGTTAACTTGTTAATTAAATTGATTTCAACGTTTTGAACGGGTAGCAACTCTCCTGAATATTTTCGAAAAAATCGTTTTGAAACCCCTTTCGTTTGAAATCTACGCTGTCGTATTATTTTATTTAACTGATTAATAAATTGATTTAAACTTTTGAAAGATATGTATTATATGTTAATCCAGGTGGCGCCTAGAGCGCGCCAAATGTTCTCGAGATACGTCCAGCCGTTTTAGCGTGAAAGAGCAACAAACACACTCAACAACTCACAAACTTTCAAATTAACATACATATAATACTCGTATTAGTGGAATTTGCGATATAAACATATGTATGTATGTACATAATTGTGATCACATCCAGGATTGCTACTGACGAAAAAAAAATACTTACCATCCACTTGAAAAAATCTACCAAACCTGGAAAATTTCTACCAATAACTTTTTAAATAAAACAACCTTTTTTTTTAGTTATTTTAATAAAACCTTTCGTTATTTCAATAAGAAATAAAATTGTTTTTAAGGAACTTTTTATTTAACTAATTATATGTTCCGTTTTTGAAATCATATTACTGACAATTCTCATTCTCTTCATTCAACCAAAGCGAAAGTGGTGAATCTAAAGGCCTTCAACGAAACTTCATCATTTGAAAAAACTTCTACCGGAGTTATTATAGACAAATGCAGTGACCCAAAATCCGCTTGGTAATTTTTTTAAGAACAAATTTTTTGGTATTTGTTTTTTATACAAGAATATGGTTTGCGCTTCCAAAAATTTTAGTCTACTTTCTACTCGGAATTTTTCGACCAATTTAAGGTATGGAGTTCTATAGCCCATAATAGTATTTAAGTATAACCAACAATTGGCAGCTAAAAATCCTGTTGATTTATTTTTTTGCCACCAGTCTTTTGTGTGTTTTTCATTTAACAATTGCGATTGCTAAAAAATTGCGTTTATTACAATTTTTTTGCGAAAAAGGGTGCATTTAAGCGTTCGAAAAGTAATGCAATAAAGCACTTTTACACTTTTGGAAAGAAATTTATAATTTAAAGATAACTACAAAAAATAAGAAAAAAGTTCTTCAAACAAAATAATTCAAAATCTACAAAAATGAGAAACAATTTACCTTTTTACCAACCCAAATGTTTTCTACTAATTTTGGTAACAATTTACCAAAGTGGCAACCCTGATCACATCCTTAATAATGAATTTCTTTTCATTTAGTATTACTCCCAACCATCTATGTTGTACATATGTCTATAATCATGTCATATTTATTTCCCTCTTTGATGCCACTTGCCGCCTAGCCATAACCAAATTCCCCCAACTGCTCTTCAATTCGTTCAAGTATTTTTAGTAAGACCATGCACTGAATCTGTTTTTAAATAAAATTTGAAATCAGCCACATGTTTTTGTTACCATAAAATCTTCAATTTTCCAACTCCAAGTGGCACGTAAAAAGTGCGCAACGAACGCGTGTGTGACGAAAATAGCACAGACATTACAGACATTATATAGCATACATTACTTATAGGCTTAAGTATTTATAAATGAATCCCACTTAATAAATAATAATAAATATTTGTGAAATGAAGAAGCAAGCGCGGCTGTCACACATAGCTTAACACATTTTTACACCAATCACATTTCCGCCGCCGAATTAAAAAAATAAAAATAAAAATGAAAAGAAATAAGTCAATGATGCACCACCGTCCATGACATCATTGTTACCAAAATACATCAGCTATTATATTCAAGCGCTCGGCAGAGCGAACACAGCTTTTGTTAGCCACAATTCAATGCTAACTACTTTTAATTGCGATTACATAAATTTTTGCAACGCTCGATTGCACCCTCTGAATAACGAACATACATACAAGCGAGCATTGCCGTGCATGCAGAAAAGTTTAGAAACCCAGTGGGAATTAGGAGCACGTAATAATACCTTATTAGCAACTTACTCTTCACCTGGCAGTCATTACCATTTCCCTGCCGAACGTCCCTTACTTTTACAAAGGCATGGCCGCCTTATGTAAGTAGGAATTTAGAATGTACATTTGGTATCAGACATACTTCTGAGCCGCTTTACAAAGTAAGTTACGTGTAATGCAGAGCAGTCGCTCGGAGTAGTTCGGTGCTTGGAAATAACTTCGGCTGCACGTTATTTTGCAACTGACAACGTAATGTGTCTTCGGATGTGTTCATTTTGCCCTTTACTAGTAGATGACATTGGCCATGATGACAATTTTGGTACTAAGAACTGAAAGAAAACATGGCTTACCTCGCAAGGTGCTTACCTATTTTCCCAGTGGGAATTCCTAATTTGAAATTTGCGTTAATTCACAAACACTCTCTCTGATTCTTCTCCTTGCAGCTATGAATGAAACGAACAAGCGTAAAAAACTTAAATCACGCACAGCTACAGTACCTAGTAGTAGCGGCCAAGGTCATGGGCATGGTGATGGCTATATGAAGGATCACTTGGATGCCTGGCTGGAGACTTGTCTCAAGGATGCCTCTAATACACAATTATCCTCCTCATCGGAATTTTTAGATTATAATCCGACACCAACGAGCACTGGAGGGTGTGGTGGCGCTGGCGGTAGCGGTAGCGGTAACGCTGGTGGTGTGATAAATCCACAAAAATTTATACAACAACAAATGCAACAGCGACACCAGCACCAACACCAACATCAACATAGTCAGCAGCATCAGCAACAGAATCAAGCATATCTTTCCAACACTAGTTTAAATAACGCGAATCAGCCGTCGCAATTTTCTTATGCACAACAGCAACAACAACAACAACAACAAAACTTATCTCACCAGCAGCAGCAGCAGCAGCACCAACATTCACGCCAACAACAATTTGGTTTGCCAGTGGGGCCAGTGTCATTTGCAGGCGGCTACACGGGCGGCGGTGGCAGTGGCCCCTTCAGCCAAGGTTTTCAACGTGTGAGTACGATAATTGATGAATGCATCTTCTTAGAATTATCTTTGGTTTCAATGAAGTAAAAAAAAAAATATGTTCGCGAATCTAGGAACCAAAAATAGTAAGACTGTGTTTTTAGTTTTTTTCTTTCTGATGCGTCATTGCGTCAGGATTTTTTTCAAAGGTCCTTGAAATTGCAAAGATATGATTAAATCAAAAAACTACATATTTAGAAAATTCGGTGCAATGTGCATGGATAACAAATAAAAGAGAGTTCCTTGGGATTAAAAGTTACATTTTTTGCATCCACATACTATTCGAATATCCCTGAAATATTTATTTAAAAAAAAATTTTAAAAACACTAAAATCCCTTAACTCAACAAAATTCGATGTCTCGACTAATTTCGATGACTATGCGTTTCTACGACTTGATAGATTTGGATAACTCCAAAATGTATATATCTCGACATAAATCGTTAACTCGACAAGCTTTGGATACCTCTACAAATTTCGAATAATATGAATAGCTACATATTTTTCGAAAGCTATCGACCAATTTCTCTGATAGCATGATCAAATTCGATAAGCAGTGATAACTCGATAAACTTATATAACCTTGAAATTTCTATAACACGATATATTTTGAAAATTTAAAAAACCTCAATTCGGTAAATCGACAATTTTCAGTAAATTAATAAATATCGATAATTCGATAAGTTCAAATAACTCGATACATTACGACAACTCGATAAATTTTGTTAACTCCATAAAATGGTTCCGTACGTCGTACGGACGGCGCCTCTCGTACGAATGGGCGGGAAAGGAGTGTGTAAAACCGTTGGGATTATTATATTATTAACTCCCGGCCATCTAGATAGCTTCTAACCATGAGTCTAAGGTACGTGGGTATGTTGTAGACTTCTTCTAGTGCGTGTGTATGATATTTTCCCATTTTGCGGTGTTAAAGGCGTTGCGAACGTCTAAGGTTGCAAGCTGGACTAGCTTTTTGTGTTAGTATGCGGCGTCCACTGTTATTATTACGTGTTTTATAGCTCTAATTGTTGACCTACCGGGCCTGACTCCATACGGTCTTGAGGAAAGTCCGCCGCCACTGGCGATAGCCGCTTCTATTCTAGGTTCTAGTAGCCTTCCTAAGAGTTTTTCAGCTGTGTCCAGCATACAAAGTGGCCGATACGCTGATGGGGAGTCAAGGTTTCCCTTTCCTTTGCTGATTGAGATGAGCTGCTGCCTTTTCCAAATTTCGGGGAATATTTCGTCCTTGAGGCAGGCATTGCACATGTTTAGACCTCGTTCTGTGGCGATTATTTTTAAAACTTCTGCTGGAATGCTGTCTAGGCCTGGTGCTTTCTTGGCCTTTATTCTATTAGTGGCAGACTTGGTCTCTTCTGCGATGAATGGTGGTATTTCCTGTGGAGCGATGATATGCTCCATTTCTGTGGGTATTATTATTGGGCATTTTCTGAAGAGAACCAAAGCTTTCTGATCGAAAAATATTGATGTTCATGAAATCTATAACATTTCTATGAAAAGTTGTTTTTCGCCATATAAAATACATAGAAAACTTAGAGCGCTTTGAGCACTCCCTAAATATTTTTGATTTCAAAATAAAAAATAGGGGCATATTTTTCGATAGAGAACAATCCTACGGGGTGGCGGCATTAAAATTCCGACTTTACTGTTTTTTAGACCACTCTAATGTACATACATATGTATGTATGCATAAGTACAGTGCACTCTCGATAAGGCGAACTAAATAAAACCAAGCAGGTTCACATTCACGAATGTCTTCACTTTTGCGAATGTCTAAATTCCCATTTTTTTTCCTTTTAAGTATTTTAATTTGGATATTTGTATTCTTGAAACAAATTTAACCCAAATAACCATATTTGCCAATATTTATATTGATTTGCTCTTGTTCCAGAATGTGCCAAATTACATGAAACACTCCAACTACAACAATCGCTATTCCATGATGTTCCCGCATAGTGGCATGGGTCCTGGAATCGGTGGATACTATCAACAAAGCGATGGCCAAGATTTTGCCAGCCTGCCGCCCATTGTGAATATGATGGGTGGCTCATCGGAATTGGAGAATAATTCAACAGATGTACTCGATGGCAGTGGTAGTAATCCCAACATGAGTCGAGGGTGTGTATTACTTAGCTCTAAGTAATAAAATGTTTCATGTTTTATGCGCAAATGATAGAGTTACTTATAACATTGTATGTATGTATGTACATACATAAATATTTTCTACTAGTTTCCGTTTCAGCGATCCCTGTCTATTGAATCCCTCCGATAATGATTCGAAAGTGAGTGGCCAAAATACACCCGATCAACGCAATCCGCAGCTATCCAGCGATTTAGAGAATAATAAATTCTTTGCCGCTTTGATGGAACAAATTAATTTATTGCACGAAACAAATACGAAAATTTGTCGAAATCTACACGAAACAAAAGGTAAGCCTTTCAGGTAAACATACGCATATAAGTATTTGTAAGTGCTTACATATATATATGTATGAATATATCTACGTTTGTAGTTAAGTGTTTCTAGGTAAAACATATTTACATGCAGGAATATTTAACTTTACGTTTTTGATTCGTAATTTTTAAGCTTAACTTTAAATTATTTATCATTTTGCCTTAATTGCTCTACAACACGACCTTGAGAATTTCTAAAATTACACTCATTTATGTAATAACACAAAACTAATTAGACTTTTTTTTTTAAAATAATTTAATATGTGCATCTATTATGACTAGCATTAATTTTGGTTTTATAAATGCATGATAACTTCGTTGTCACAGTCGATTTCTTTGACACTTATCACAACTTATAAATATTTAATATATGTATGTATTTGATTGCCAAGTTTAACTCAAGATCGATTATTTGGTATCTTAAACTTAAAAAAGAAAAGTATTTCATTGTAAAGTCCTTATAACCAGGGACGGTAATCATTATTAGTAAAATAATTAAAATCAGCATTTAATCATTATTTTATAATTTTTATATTTTTCGTTCAAAAATAATAATTATTATTGATTATTATTTTTTCGCTCAACGAAAATGATTGTTATTTGATTTTTTTTTTCGATTACAAATAATGATTATTTTATGATTTTTATTTTTTTGCTTGAATATAATCTATATATTAATACGCTAACGAAATCCCATACAAATCTATTCCTCCCTACTGCTCCTATGTTTCTCAACCGATTTGAATGATTTTTCTTTTGTTCGAAAGGTATTTCAAAGGGGAGGTGCGCATTTTGTTTGTTTTTTCAGTAGGTGGAGTAGGAGTGGAGTTATTCCGAAAAACTTCATTTATGGTCCGATTTGCTTCAAATTCAAAATACGTATTACTAACATCAAGAGAAATACACCTGCAAAAAATGGACCCGATAGGTGGCTCCAGAGCCGAGTTATTCCAATTTCTGTATAAGCCTATGAATGCCTGCTTTGGTTTCACCTTATACTATCTATATATTAATACGCTAACGAAATCCCATACAAATCTATTCCTCCCTACTGCTCCTATGTTTCTCAACCAATTTGGATGATTCTTCTTTTGTTCGAAAGGTATTATTTTCCGGTAGGTGCCCGATTTGGTTTCACCATCTATGAATTTTTAAATTATTTAACAGAATGTATATTACTCCACCAAACAGTATGTGTAAGCGAGCTAGACGATTAACAGGTGCTGGTGGACCTAAAACACTTCCCTGGCAAAATGAAAAAGTGTGTGAAAAAAGTGTAGGGGTCGAATTTTGACAACGGGGCGATACTAGTAATTATTATTGAGTTTTATTTTTCCTCCTAAAAATAATGATTATTTATAAAATTGATAAGGCCATAAAGACGCAACTTACTGAAATTTTGACCTGAAAAATTTGGAACTTATTCCTTGTATTAGAGAGTCGCTACCTCTGAAAAGGATACGACGGTAACCACGCTGGCATAACTTTTCTCAATAGTAATTATTACCTTTGAACGAAAAAATAAAAATCATAAAATAAGCATTATTTTTGAACGAAAAAAATAAATCAAGTAATAATAATTACCTTTGAGCGAAAAATTAAAACTCAAATATTAAATATTATTTTTACTCGTTACTAATCGTTGTAAATTACAGTAGGACGTACGAGCACAAATACTGTGTTAAACTCTTTTACGACGATTACAACTTCTTGATTTTTTTTGTTAAAATTTAAAAAATTATGATTATTTTCCGTCCTGGCTTATAACACAAAAAGGAAAAAAGCGATTTATGTTACTAGCAGTGGCAGTTTCCCAAAACGGACTTTTTGATAATACGTGTTATTCAATGGGAATACAGAATGGTGGTCAAAAAAAAATTAGAATGTTAAATTCTCACCGCTATGATTTTTTAAGAGAAAAAATACACTTTTTTTTTTTAAATTAAATTTAGAACTGCCTCAAAGCCCATGAAGTTCTCTATGTATTTTATATGCATGGGGAAATAGCATTTTTTCGTAGAAATGTTATAGAATATAAAATTATCGATACTATCGACAGTACCATCGATTGTTTTCTATTACTACTCCACCGCCTGTCACATTTACCATGATGGGGCACGCGTACCATAGTTTGAGAAGCGCTTTGCTACAAAATGAATATTTATGTATGAAACTACATACGCATTTATCTTTTATTCATTGGCTCAAAAGTTTTTGTGTTTATACACAATACTTGGATACTTAAACGTTTGTATACTTTAAATTTTCTCACATTAGGTATCTAACCACCTACATATTTACCATAAATACTCCGACCATTTCTCTAAAGCAATTAGGTACATACTTCAAGACATTGCGGGTACAATTTGTAAATATCTAATTCAAAGAAGTACATTTTATTTATATGCATAAACATGTATATATGTACATATGTATGTAGTTGCGCATTTTGTATACCTACTTGCACACCTCATTAGTTTACTAAGCAGCATATAAAAATTTGTCTAGTTATAAGCGTGCATTTGCACATATTTGTTGTGTGCTTAATTACCAACAATTAAATGCAAAATTATCTACCTACTTATTTTACTTTTTTATTTACGACCCTCTATTTAAAGTACGTATGTATGTATTTATGTAATTGTACATATGTATGTATTTGCAATTGTCATTTAATGTTTCGTAGTCTCATATTTATTGTTGTAAATATTTTTATTTGTGTTTGTATTTTAATTTTTTATTTGTTTCCTTGTCTTCCCTTTTTGTTCTTTTGTCTCTTCCTCTCTCTTTCGAAACGCTCTTAAACAACAATAAAACACCATTAAAAAAACAAACTCTTTAGTTGATATTGAAGCTTTAAAGCACGCACCCAATTGGGGTTTGAGACACCGTAGAGATAGCTTGAGTGGATTAAGTACACACAGCCAACCCATGGTATTTGGCGGTGGATTTGGTGGTATGCAAAGTCCAGCGCCAACTTATCATTCAGGTATGTTGTCCTTTGTAATGTTTATTATTTATCTGTTTATATATGTTTTTTGTTTTTTTTTGATTTTCGGAAACAAAATATTTGCTTTATTAAATAAAGTGATTTCATCAAATTATCACGTTGAACTTTCGGTTCGGGTTTCATGAAATATGTGCTACACTTTTCATATACATACTCGTATATACTATGTACATCCTTTTGAAATTTGTATTTTTTAATCCGTTTAATTTTGCATAATTTTAGGCGCCTACACACCCGGCATGATGACCGATGTGGTACGTGAAGTGAAGGAAGCGGCACGCGTGCGCGAAGATGCGCTACTTAATCGGTGAGTGAAGGAATATACTATTTATGCATTGACTAAAGCAGGCTACAAACGGAAAACAAATTGAAACGATCGGTTCAAACTCATTTCGCCACACACGTGTGGATTTGTTGACAAATTTAATTTCACGTTGTGAGCCGTCGAGTAAACATGGAACGCGTAATGAGAATATTTGCCATGTATGGTGTTTATTTGTCTACAGAAAGAACAACAACTCTATTAAATACTACTCAATTATAGATCAACCTATATTTAAACCATTCTATTGGTTCCTTGATAAATTTTTTGCTTAATCTTGACACTTAAAATTCTCAAAAGAAATTAAAAAAATCGTCAACTTCGCCACGCACGCCCAACCGATCGAAAGCTGACTGAAATTGTTGTTGTATCAATCTGTTGAAATTTAGGATTTTTGAGAGCCGTAGTTCTATGAGCGAAAGTCACCATACTTAAGACTCGATAACGAATAATTGGACAGACAATTTCCATATACATATATCAAGTGTAATATCCACAATTTAAAAAAAAAAAAAAAAATATTAAAAATTAATACGATTTTTTAGCCGGTCAGAACTTGCATTTTACTGAAATTTTATAAGCCTGTTAAATGCATACCCAAAAATTTATAAAAATTCTGGTTAAAAAGCTCGAAATTTCGATAAAAATTTGTGGAATTTTTCTAAATTATGTATAAAGTTTGAAAGTGTGATTTATATCGGTTTTGTTAAAGCTTGAAAAAATATCAAAAAAATTTTATCTCGAAACACCATCCATTTTTTTTACCGCCGCTGTAGGTATTTAGGAGTTACTAAATATGCAAGTAAAAAATACTTGGTATTTAGAAGCTGTTGGTTATTAAAGTAAACACTCTGGGTGTTTTGAAGCTGCTAGATACTAAAGTTTAAAAAATGAAAGTATTTAGCAGGCCCTAAATACTCTGGTCCAAAGTACTCAGTACTTTTTGGGATTCTGGGGAATAGCTTGGGGTTTTCGAGACTAAATATATCGATAAATATATAAAAAAAACTATCAATAAAAATGGCGATTAGGTGAAACTAGTGCTAGGTGCTAGTATACCTGGTATTTGGTAACATCCAAAATACTTAAGTAAATAGTACTTTGGTATTTACTACATCATAAATACCCAAATAATTTTGTACTTAATACTTAGTCCCAGGGTTTTAAAGCCCAAAAGCAGACAGCGCGATTCGTATGAAGGAGATGTTCCAGTAAAATTTAAGGAGCGAAGCTAAATTTTATGAATAATTTCTAGGTTCGTTCCATGCGGTGTATATTTATATGAAGACAGGTACAGTCTCCAGATGAAAGAGGCATAGTCGAGCCTTGATCTTACTAGAAAAACATAAAGTATCTTCAGAATGTAAGGATCTGAAAAAGAAGTACTATAACGCCAAATAAAGGCTAGCCTTGCATACTATTTTGAAACAGTATAGTTAATGTGGGTAGAGAAACTCAATTTCGTATCGAAATGGACACCTATGTATATCCTTAAATTTATAAATTGAATTTAAAAGGGATCCCGCGCGTAGGGAAAGGACTAAACTTTCGGGTGTATGTACAGTGAGGACATATTTGTAGAGAAAAGTGCCGTTACTGTTTTCTTGATGCGCTCTGTCGAAGATAGATTTCGAAGACACAAAAGGGCGGGACTAGTAAAAATAGCTAATTTAGTATTCGCTGCGTTTACTTTTAAACAGCCGGTCACCAGGCAAGTAGTGAGTCGAAAGAAGTCTCTATTGGATCGCATAAGGTCTGGGTGAACTTACCTTTAAACCCACTATTTAAACATCGCTTTTATCGCTCTATAACAGTTGGCTCATTGTTATAACCCATAACGCGGAGGGCTTATCCTGTGAAATGCCCCCGTTGACTGTCATCCGAATCCCAGCTCATTTAGTTCGGACTCCATCACTCTGCGGTAATTGCGCTCGAGGGTAGGTTGTTAAATGCCGCTGCTAAGTTGAAGAATTCAATAAGTGTAAGTTAAAGTGAATTCTCAATCGTTGGTACCATTGTTTGGGTTGATATGTAGATTGTCTGATGTGGGTTTTCGAAATTGCCTTCATTGTTTGTGATGTGATGGAAATAACGGCATACTTATTGGTACAATGTGGTCTAGCAAAAATTTTGAAAAGAGTGCCGATAATGTATATCGTATCGATCCTTGAATATTTTAATTCAATCATTCCATGCATTCCTTGTAATTTTGCTATGTAGGTACACTGAGCTACAAAACTATGCTAACAAAATTCTATTTGGGTATTCCAGGGTTAAAGCGATGGTCGAAGAACGGCAGTGGGCATTTAATGAAAGCAATTTGCGCATGATGCGCGACATTGAGGAGCTCAAGGTAAATACTAAATTAATCCTTTAACAAAGTTTCTTCGCTTTACTTTTAACGCAACTTTCTCCCCCCACCTCCCTAGTCACAAGTTCATCACATGCGTGCCGATCGTAAAGACGCCAACAAACGCATTACTCATCTCGAAGCGGAGAACAAGTATATGCGACAAATGCTGAGCAACCTCTTCAATCAACGCAATACGCCCGATGTGATCTATGAGAATGAGACGTTGCGCACACAACGCAAATCCTTTCCAACCGCGCCAGCACGTCGCTCACAGTCGATGAATCTGCATTACGGCACCATACACCATCAACCGCCGACCGTAGCGCTCACAGTGGATGAGCAGGATGAGCGACTGCATATCGTCGAAGCAGCTACACCACGTGCCGCCGACATGGTGACCGTAAGTGATAGACGCGCAGCAGAATTGCGCAGCTCATTCTCAAGCTCGGACGGTGGTGGTAGCATAGGAGCGGGTAGTCCAGGTGCAGGTGCTGGTGCTGGTGCTGGTGGTGGTGGTGGTGGCGGTGCTGTACGTAACAATGGTGCCGTCAGTGGTATAGGCATTTGTACAGTAACTCCCTTGCCTAATGGTAATACTACTATTGCATCCAGTCAACAACTTATGTCGCCGCCTAATTTTGCATTAATATCAACGTCCGTCGAAGAGGAGATGGAAGTGAAACAGCGAAAAAAGAAGGGCAAGAAGCTGCCTAACGTTGCTGGTAGTTCGAAGCGAAACGGTGACACTCAACGCTCTGGTGATGATGATGATGATGACGATGGCGGTCATGTTGTTGATGATGATGATGATCGCGATGCTGATGGCGAAGGCAAACTGTCGACAAAGGAGCTGCAGCAGGAACTACAGGACGCGGTGGCAGCGCGTAAGGAGGCCGATAATCGTGTCATTGCGTGGGTTTAATTACTTGAATACAATTTAGCGAAACGTTGTGTGGCACATAAACAAAACAGCTTAGAGCCTTTGTTTTCCTTAAATTACACATTTTGTTGGGGTATTTGGAGAATTAGTTTAAGATGTGTACATATTTCAATAATTTTGTTACAGAAATTTTGGTTTGTTATTACATACATATTTGTTTAGCCCTTATGAACAACAGTAAATTTGTGCCAGTATTTACACCGGAAAAATTTTGTATATTATAGACGTACATATTTTTAACCCTTGGATAGAAACACTGTACTCGGAAATTGGTTTAGAAAATTTTATTTTAATTTACGTTATTTGTTAATGAATAGAGTCTTTACATATGGGTAATAATATAAATGGTTATTGTATCATATTTTATATTAATCGAAGGCAAAATTAGTGGTCAGTATTTCGATAACGACTGTCAACGATCCGTATGACTCCCTAATTATATTTTTGTTTGCTTTATTTGTATTATTTAAGAAAGCCATTAATGCCTTCGTAGAGGTCTTTGGCATACGGATTCTCCAATATTAAAGTCTCAAATTTCATATTTGGTCCCATTTTTGTTATTACTAACAAGATAAAGCACGTTTAAAAATATACAGCCTTTTTTTCAAAATTTCAATTTTGTGGTAATCGAATATTTATACTGCTCAATTTAGAGCTCAGCAGAAAAAAAACTCCGTCCCTACGTATAATCCAATTATGAGCCGTCCGTAAAAATGCATGCTTCAAAGCGCTCAGTAAAGCAATAACTTTCCACTATTTTCTGTATGGAAACATTCTACAGAAGCTTTGGTTTTTAAGAGAAAATTATGTTGATTAGATTTTTTTTGAATACATGGATTACTGAAAGAGTACATAATACATCCATGCAATCTGTGAAGCCACTCTTCTTGATAAAGAGGTACATCTATGGCGAATACCTAATGACATTCAAGCTTCATTGGGACCTGATAGAACTCTGCCCAACATGGTGTGCACTTTTAAGTGCATATGTATGTATGTACATAGTTTGTTTCTACGGCTTTCCGTATGGTACATTCATATTGTAAGCTCCGGAAGTGTGCTCCAATGTAAAGAGTTAATATTGGGATCGATAAAAACCTACAAAAAAAGGGTGCAACAATTTCAGGGTCACTGTCTGGGGTGGAATGATTCCAACTCAGGATTAAAGATCTAGACCCCCAGAGTGAAATCTCCATATCTTTTTGCATTCTCAGGTCAAAGTTTTTTTATGGCCATATACGGTTGCAATTTTTTGCCTGAGTATTTTTAGAAGAAGTGGGAAAAATGTTGAAATTCATATCGGAGCGAAATATGTAGTGTAGTAGAAATATGTAGCGAAATTTCACGGGTAATAATTTGGTATAATTTTTTAACCCATAAGCTGTCTTTTCGGAAAGGGTGAATAAATGACATTAAAAAGTTCGCAAAAGGGTTAAAATATTCTAGAGAATTTTCTACGGAAAATTTCTAGGTTGGTATCATTTCGCCCTTAAAAAAGATTGTTGCACTGTAATATCAAATATGGGCAGCAAGAGATCCTCTTTCAAATATATACCATAGGTAATCTATTCTAGAAGAAATACTAAAATTTGTTGGGACTCGTAATTATCGGGTTATCGAACCTAAATTGAAGAGTCATTTATTTTGAGAATCCGCAATATTAGCTACCATTTGAATTAAAAAAAAAAAGTTAAAAAATTTCGCTTAAACATTTTCTTATTGAAGTAAATATCCCATGCTTTGAACAAATTATTTTATTTAAACTATTAGCTTACAACAAAAAAAGCACACGCCCGCCATTCTAGTCATTAACAATGCTTTAGTAAACATATCTACAAAAAAAAAACATTCCAATTTTCTGCACGCCACTTTCATTCAAAAATAAACATTGTAAATTCATTCACACGCATCGACATAACAATTCACACTCACTTTACTCAGACTTAGTACATACAAGTGTAGTTCTTACATATGTACATTCATACCTCATCATCTTGGGCTTACAGGCTTCGCACTAAGTAAAAATTTTCAAAATCAACTTGCATCTGAACATTATAACCATTTTGTTTGTTCACTTGTACCCGTATGTACCTATTTTTCGTATTCTCTTACTTACTCTCATTTTAGGCTTGAGAATATGGTAAGAACACAACATCTGAATTCCAAAAAAGCCAACAACACCATAACCAACCAACCAACAATCCATCCATTCGCGGCGGCGTCAGTTGCATATACTTGTAGTAGTCTTACTAATGGTACTAGTGCAAATGCTGGTGAAGGTTTTGGTACGTCGACACACTATGCCGGTGGCACTTATAACATTAACCCATGCACTACCATTAACGTCTCATCGCCATCAGCCACATCGGCAATTGTACAACCACATCAAAAGCAACATAAGGCACATACAATCGTCTCGGCCAGCATTATCGGTGGTGTAACACAATCGCCAACCAAGTTAAGCCTCGCTGGACCCATAACTGATTTATAGTTCTAGCTAACAACCACACAGCGGCGAGTTCGTGTCACGCATTTCTGACCCAAATTTGCATTTGTGTGCTGGCGGTCTAACTTGGACGTGAAAAAAATGGGTCAAATTGAAGATGTATCACAAGCTAGAGGTGCGATGGAGGCATTGACGAGCATTAAATGCGAAAAATACGATACTCGAAATACAGTTCTCGAAAATACAGCCGAATTTTCAATCCGATACGCTACGATATTTGCTTTTATCATTATATTTTAGCATTTTTTTTACCACATCTAAATATGTACAACATAATATGTATGTAATTGTAATTAACACTTGTTAACACATTCGTTTTGCATTTTATATATATTAGTGAGTGACTACCTACTTGTAATCCCAAATGCAACTCATACGTACATACATATATTATTTGATCTGAATATTTTTGCATATTCGAAAATCATACAAAATGCTTAACTTTACTTAGTGTATCTACTAAATTTAATGTCTGTAGTTTGTTACTAAAAATTTGTATTTTCAAGGGTTAACCAAAATTATTATGAACAGGGAACGGATTTTTAGGACCTAAATATCTACAAAAAAAAGGCAAAATAAAATAACGAAATTGGCTGGAAAAGACACTAGAAATAGCAAAAAAGGCAAAAGAAGGCACTAATAAAGGCGCATAAAAAAAGACAAAAACTTAAAAAGAAAAAGGAAAAATGTTCAACGGTCGCCACTACATATCCAATTCGTATATAGAATTGCGAATTGCTCGGTGATTCCGAAAATCGAGTTAATTTTTTGTCCTATGGATAAGGTTTCGGGATATTTTTTTTAGGTGTACATGGCGTATGAGTAACATTCTTTCCTGCTAATTTTTCATACATACATTCATATAGTTTCCATAAAATCCGTTCCCTGACTATGGGTGAAACTTGATATCATTATTTATAAATCTTCACACAAACATTACAGTATAACAATGCGTACAATGCATATGTGTGCAAAGCAAAATATCTGTAGTTTCAGTTGCAAAAATGATAACTCCATTTTCTTACATGTTATTAGTTTTCTTGCCTACTTACAATTACACATATAAAGTAAATGAATGCTTAGGTTCGTCCACATATAACCCAAAAATTTTACAAAGATTCAGAATACAGAGCTCGAAATTTTTATAAATTCTGCATAAAATTTCTATGTTTGATTTACATATGTGGTTTTCGTTAACAAAAATATTTGAGCTGGAAAACATTTGGGGTATTGCACCTGCCTGGTTATCTGGTTAAAATTTATTGTTCTCTAGTGTATTTTGTTTATGTGAATTGAGTTAATAAAATTATAGTTTATAAAACTAAAACCTCCCTATTATAATTGCCATTCGTACTGTCATCAGGTATGTAACTTGAGAATAGAAATCGTTGCATCTTTTAGGCGCATCAATATTACATAGTTACATCCCGAGCTAATAAAAGGAAGGTAATAAAAAATATAAGCCCATAACCAGATAATCCGGCAGGTGTGAATACCCAAATTGTAAATATTGATATAAAACTCCCTTCATCCAGTTTTATCCGCCAATGTATACATTCGCTCCATTATCTTTGCGTTTTTTTTTTTGAAATATTCACAATTTTTTGCAAGTTATAATTTTTTCGTTAATTTTGTACTCAAAATATGATTCATGCTACAAACAAAACTATATTAACCAAAGTTTCAAACTGTATAAAAAATTAAGGAAAATTTAACGAATTTGCATGGAAATTTTAAACTTTTTACTCGGATCTGGTATGCAGTTGTATAGCCCATTCAAATTTATCGCATTGATTTTTAGTTTTTTTTTTTGCTGACAACTATAGGCATCTTTCTCCATTTAAGGTGTGGGCGAATTTTTTTTATATGGCAGAAAATACGTCAGCAAAAAAATTATTAAAAATCAGTGCAATTTCTTAGCCACTTCAAATTTGTACATTCTTATACAAAAATTGAATAGGTTATAAAACTGCATACCAGAAATTAAAAATTAGTAAAACGTCTAAAATTTTGATGAAAATTCGTTAAATTTTGTATACGGTTTGAAACTCCGATTTATATGGTTTTGTTTGCTGCATGAGCCATACTGTTGCAAAAAAATAACAAAAAAATTATAGCTTGCAAAACATTGTGAATATTTCAAAAAACAAAGGTGTACGGAGGTATACTGGAGTGAGCGTATATACCACTGTTTCTCCTCGTGAGCATCCTATAAATATTCACAGTGCAAATTATAATTTATTTCCGATAAATTTGCTATTTCTTACGCAAGTGTAGACATCTAAATACTTATATAGTTTATCGTTTTTCATAAATTTAAGAAAACCTTCATGAATCTCTAAAAGAGTCGGAAATCTTCTTCTGAAAACAGCAAGTAAGCAAATTGTTAAAAAACAAATTTGATATGTAGTATATGTTTAAATATATATTCTACAATAAAATAGCACTATATACAAACATAAACAAGTAATATATAAAAAAAATCAAAATATTTAAGATATTTTAAGTGCCATTACATTTAACTGATAATAAATATTTTATTTTTGAGTTAAAAATTGTTGTGGTTTTTTCGTGTTAATCTTCTTCAGTGTTGGCTACGTTTTTCTAAATTATAATACTACATACTATAAAAAGAAATTTAAAACCCAGAGGCATTATTGTAAATTTAAGCAGAAGAAGTGGTTTCATAAACATTTAACCCAGATATCACATTTTTATGAAATTTAGAAAGAATAATAGTTTTATTTATTGTAGTCGTAAACATTTTTTATTCAACTCCGCTCTCCACAGCTCCAGGAGCTTTGTTGTTTTTCAGCCGCATAACGCTCTTCGTACCTCTTGCCATTGTTTTTTTTTACGGGAATTCGCCCTGGTAAAATTTTCGCTCCTTTTTCCTATCGGCCAGCATTTCACGTATTTCGGCATCTGTCTTCTTAATGCGGCAAATACGTCTCGCTTCCATCTTAACTTCCCTATAGTGGTCCCACATAGCTCGCTCGTTGCATCCAATCGCAGCGTGGCCCTGTAGGCGGCATCTTTTTCTCTGCAGCTTCTTTACACTCCTAATCGTACCTGTCGTTCTTTCGGGCTCGCTGAAATCCGACTACTTCATTGGTGGAGGTACTTAATAAGAGGAAAACAAATCTATTGTTTCGTCGCGGAGGCTGAATTTTCCGACAGTGGTTCTAAAGATCCCTTCCTTGCCTTGAAATCGCCAAGCACGATATCAAGGAGGGAGGGGGAGAAGCGCACGTATCTGCGCTCCAAGCGCTCAAGAAGCTATTCTCGGACACTTCGTCCTTCTCTTCCGTGGGGCATGGGCGCAAATAAGCGAGACGGTGAAGAATCTTGCTTGGATACGGATTGTTGCGAGACGTTATAACAACTAGACTATTATTGGTATAACACTGGTTGAATCAATGTTATTTTAAGTAATTTTTTTATATTTCCGTTGTAACTTGTCTAGTTTTTATGTTATTCCTGAATATTCTCATACGCAAATTCGCATTCGAAAAATTCGCATTCGTATCATCCCTAAGTTACAACTTCATTGTAAGTTTACTTACTACTATACCGTAGATGCCACCACTCGCAGTAAGTGGAGTGTGTACCAGAGAACGTATATTTATGAGAAGATGCAAATCGTAAATCTGCTCTTCTGGTTGGCTTATCGCCGATAGATGGCGGCACTTATGCTAAGATCGTGAATTAATTATATTTGGGCATTTCCTCTATAGATGGCACAAGATCGGCTTTAAACAATCACGGATGGTGTACGTTTTTTTTGTACTCTCATATTACCGCTTTTCGTTGATAGATGGCAGCTGACCCGCTTTTAAGGAAGGATATAGTATTTGTGATAGAATGGGCATGAATGAGAACCTTCTCTGGTCATACGGTACTTCTGATCAGTGTTGCCAGATTTTCAAAAAAAAGGAATTTCCAATTTCACTTGTCTTTTATGTGTAAGATGAAGTCTGGGATTGCGCTTATCTTTCTTTCCAATTACCTGGATTGCGAGCAAAACATATAAAACATTGACGCATATAGTCTTCACCTGGTCTTTCCATCGCAGAGGAGGCCTTCACATTCCTCTCATCAGCATCGTGATACGCGTTAGATACTTTCAGATCTGGGGCGTTTATTTCTATTCGTAAGACATGGCAAAGCTAGATTTTAATCGAAAGTATGTAAAGTTCATACAGCTCATCACTGCGTAAAGGCCCGTAAATCTTTCACAAAATGTTTCTCACGAATACTCCGAGAGCATAGACACCAAAATGGGGTGGAGGACAAACATTTAATGTCCTGTATGCAGCTCTCAAGAAAACGGTCAAGAAAAAATTGCCATTATTTCTTGTGTGTGTCCAAGGAATTTTGACATTTTTAATACTTCACAGCCTGTTGCCTCACTCTTTCCTCAAGAAATAATCGAACGGGCATATATTTCTGTTGCAAACCTGGGTTGCCTTGTGCTCTTTTTTCACAAAAAAACTTTAGAAAACCGTAGTAGAAATCTTAGCGAATTCCTTAAGAACTGCGTACTGCCTTAAGGAAATTTGACTCAAGAAAATTTCTTAGCCATTTCTTGTACGTCATTTTATACGGAGTTTTTTCTTTTCTTGAGAGCTGCATATAGGCCTTAAGCAATTAAGTCGTTTCCATCTGATACGCTTAAGGCCCGTCCACATAGAACTTTGGCGTTGCGTTGGCGTTGGCGTCGCTTCAACAGCTGACTATGAATACATGAATTCAAATGCAGCCGTCCACATAGCCAAAATTCGACAACGCTCACGCCAACACAAAGCAAAAAGATGGCCAACTCTCATCTTTTCGCGTGCGTCGCTCGTCAGCTGTTGCAAATAAATAAAATTATGTGAAATATTTTCCTTTTTAATCAAGTGCGGGCAAGAAATATCGTTTTTAATGCAATTATTGATATGAAATATTAATTTATCTGTCGTTAGTATATTAATGTAGTGGCCCAAGCATTCGCTGCCAAGCGCTCATTGTAGCAAGCATACTTTTAACGTGCGTTCTGTCAAACCAACGCCAACGCCAAAGCTAACACGAAAGTTCTAT